TGTTTTGTGCAGTGTCTGGTTATTTGAAACGTGTGACAAGGAAAACAAAGAAAACGGTTCATGAGAAGGTTGTCGTCAAAATGAAGTTTATTTTAAATAAAGTTAAAAGAAACATTTGATGTCCCACCCAACATTTTTCAGTCAGGTCATCTGGACGGTTTCTTTTTTTCGTGCTGAAACGTTTCGCCTTCGATCCAGAAGGCTTCATCAGTCAAGGAAACGCACAACAAAACTGATTCTTCCCCCAACAGTTTACTCCAAAGTGGAACAAACCAGTTTTGTTTGTGATAAGATGGTCTCTTCATTTAGATATTTTCATTTCTTATCTCTTATATTACTTATATCTTCATTTATCTTATATCTTCATTTAGATATTTTTATGTCCCAATTAAAAGCTTTTTACCTTTTACCATCCATCAGTCAGCCATCCATCCATCATACATCCATCATCCATTCATCCATCCATCTATCATCATCCATCCATCCTTCATCCATCATCGTACAATACATGACCTACAACAAAGAAAACATCCATCCATCATCCATTCATCTTCCATCCATCCATCTATCCATCTTCCATCCATCCATCATCCATCCATCATTCCATCCATCCTCCATCCATCCATACTCCATCATTGTGCAATACATGACTTACAATAAGGAAAACATCAACATCCATCCATCCTTCATCCATCCATATATCCACCATCCATCTATCTACCATCCATCCAGCCACAATACATCCATCCATCATCCATCCATCATTCCATCCACCATGCATCCATCCATCATCTATCCACCCACCCACCCACCCACCCACCCACCCATCCATCCTTCATCCATTATTGTACAATACATGACCCACAATAAGGAAAATATTAACAACCATCCATACTTCATCCATCCATCCATATTCCATCTATCCATCATTCCATCCATCATTCCATCATCCATCCATCCATCATTCCATCCATCAACTATCTAGCCATCATCCATCCACCCACCCACCCATATAAATACAAAATACTTTTGTCTGTTGGTTAATTTTGGCTTAGCTTTCCTTATTCACATTAGACCATAACCGCAGCAAGGATATCTGCTTAGAGCGCCTTACTTTGTAAAATTAAAACACAGATATTTATGAAACAATACAATTGCTTCCAATTCCAAGTATATCTCTTAATTTTCCTTCTGCAATGCTGTTCTCTAACAAAATAATAATAAAAAAATAATAAAAAAACGAGAAAACGCAGAGGAAAAACTAACGTTTTAAACATCTGCTGCCCGTGTTGCGCATTCATTTTGTGCCGTCCTCATAAATCCGTCTCAGCCACACAAACACTGAACTCACTCACACAAATGAACAAACCCAGATACAACCGAGGTAAATTAGATCAGCATACAGTTCAGTGCAGTCTTGTCATAGTGGTTTACTTCTCCCATAAATCTCTTCCAGACGACGGTTCCAGGTGTCGTTCTGTGGCGGTTTACGAGAACATTAAGGAGACTGTCTGCAGACATGAACAAAGACCATTTAACCAGGATGAGCTGACAGGAACAGAAACAAAACCAACCCCTCCAAAAACTGAATCAATACCAACTCCTGGTAAATAAAATGAAGCAGAATTTATTTTTAGAGCCTTCGTTTCCCCTGAAAAAGACCATCCCATACGACATGATCCCTTCACCACCAGTTTGAAGAAATTCAAGATATTTGGGATGAAAAACTAACAAATGAAAAGACAAGCTGACATTCTTTTAATGTTTAGAAATTTGTCCTGAAGTCCAACATTTGAACTCTCCAGTTATTGAGAATAAAAGCTGTGTATTTAAAAGCTTCATCTTCTCAACGATATGCTTAGTAATCAGTGGCAGTAAAATCCTTTGTGCAACATTGATTTAGGATTGACTTTGAGACGCACAGTCATGAAAAAACAACGGTCACCATCATTACATTCCAGGATTTTGCACATCAGGACGTTATTAAAATGATCTGGTCTTCACCAGGTTCTAAAATTTCACCTCAAGGGGAGAGAAACAACAGATTGAACCATGTAAATTACCGATTAAAAATTAAGGCAAAATGGGAAAGCTGTGTGAAGTATTAGTTACATTCTTGGTGTTTTCACATGATTTCGGAGATTCAGTATTTGCCGGGAGCTGCTGATCAAGTGTATTGATCAACTGATCATTGTCAGTGGAACCATCTCGGTAAATGCAGGACTTTTAGCTGCTCCGAATCAAACAGGTGTGTGCTAGCACAATGCCAAGGTGAAAAAGCAGAAAGCAATGCGTTCAACACAATGGTACTTCTTCCAGTTATTTTACTGTCAATATTGGTGTACCACAAGGCTCAGTCTTAGGACCCACTTTCTTTACAATCTGCGCAATCTACACAAGTGATGTAGACGTTCATGTTTTTAGTATTTTACTTTGTTTCATAATGTAGCTTGATTAAATTTTGTTTATATCACTACTTTATTTACTTTTCATTTTATATGTATTTTATGGCTGTTTATTGTTGTGTACCTGATCTGTGGTTTTGTCTAAAAGAAGTCTCTCTTGAAAATGAGTCCTTGTGACTCAATGAGACTAACATGTACAAATAAAGGTTGAATGAAAAAAAAGGCATCAGTAATGACCTTAGAGATGAACTGTTGCTGACCATTAATCTGAGAAGCAATACAGGTAATTTCTTAACGAGTAAGTCCATCACAGAGAGAAAGATTTTGCACAAGTGGAAAATGTTTTAGACAGCTGACAATCTTCCCAGGAGTGGACGTTTAAGCAAATCACCCAAAAAAAATCAGACTGCAATAATCAGAGAAACAAACAAAAAAATAATCCAAGAGCCTCAGTTAGCAGGTTAAAGATCAGAAAACTGTTGCAGGGGAACGCCTCAAACCAGCTGTTCAAAAACAGTGGTGGAAAGCGGATGATTTGAGCTTGTTTGGGCACCTTGCACTCATTGATCCAACCAGCAACTCCTCTGTAGACCAGAGGATTCTAGAGACAAATATGAGGCTATCTGTCCGACAGCTGCAGCTTGGATCAAACTGGCTCAAGATTTAACAGGACAATGATCCCATAAAGAACAAATCTACAATGGGAGATGGTTCTACAAGCTACTGAATCCCCATTTTCCATTTTGGCTTCATTTTTGTTTAATAAATAATGAAGCGGTTAAACCTGCTGTGCATTTTTATACACTTGAAGTTATGTTTTAATTACTTGAGAACCTGGAAAAGACCTGATCGCTTTGATTATGTACAGATACGTAAAACCCTATAATTAGGAGAGGGTGAACATTCTCATAGCTGCCCTCTACCCTAGAAGCTAGACTTTCCTAACCAATAATAAAAAAGTATGTGAAGTGAATATAGTGAAACGAGTAGAAGGATCCCTGCTTTAGATGTAAGCTTTTACTGTCATCAGAAATAGATTTGTGGCAGGCATGAAAGCAGCACATCAACAATGAGTTCTAACAACTGAAATTACACCAACTCACAGAAAAAGCTAATGGTTTTCTGAGCTTCATACCTGCCTTGTGTCTGGTTTGGAAGCTACAATATTTAAGATAGTAGAATATTAATTCAGACTTTGGAGCAGTACTGTACACAGCTCTCCCACCAGTCAACAACAATACCTGTTCAATAAAGCCCATTAAGGAAATTGAGAAGGTGTTGACCTTTAGCCTCCCTGGAGCTTTTTAAACCCTCCTCCAACACTTAACGGACCAAACGCTGACACAAAGCTGACCTCAGTCAGCCGACCCCCGTCAGCCTTGGATGACATGTCGTTCAGACCACAGATGTTGCAATAGAGAATACTTTTATTGTCATGACAGTAGTTGGAAAATCCTCTTGTCATTTCTCAACTACAGACTAGAAAAATGAAACAAAGTATTCCTGGAAAACACAACAAACCAAATATTGATTTAATTTTGAGGCTGAACTCGGGCCAGCAAATATAATGCCTTAAAATAATGAAAATAATATTAAAATGATATGACTATGACCAACAAATTGCAGAAAAACCCTTTATTCTTCAGCTAATTCAGGCAACACAACTCATTAAATGAAACTGAGTCTGTCAAAAAAAAAAACCAAAAAGAACAAAGATGGTTCTTTGTATTTATGGTAATATGTTTTAAGTTGTGTTGGCTTTTTATCACCAGACTTTGCAGAAACTATAGAACAAAATCTAAAATGAAAGAAACTGATACGAAGCATTAAGTGTTCATGAATGTATTTTTAGTCAAGACTTTAGGAGTCACCTTATCAGTCAGTAAAACCATTAGGATTACCAATACTCTCTCAGTAAACAAGCACCTAATGGAAAATTAGGGCATCCCCAAACATTGTGCCAACAGAGAGGCTGGGGGCGTGTTAAATACAGTTGTGTGGGAAGAAGTCTGTCCTCTTTCAATTCTGTGGTTTTCCATACAAGGACATGAAAATAATCTTATCTCTACCAGGTTCTAAAATCCTTCCAATCGAACCTTAAGTGTTCAAAAACAGCAGATTTGATCCTGCCATCACTATAATGCATATTAAAGTAGCACAGGTTTCATGTAAGTCCCATAAGTACAATGGAGAACATAAGTTGTTTCACAAGATTTCATTAGTAAGAAATTATTGATTTAAACGTGCACAGTCTAAACAAACTCCATGGGGTTTAATTCCATAGTTATTTACACTTAAAGGTGATCCGTTTCCCCAGTTTGTTGTGTTATTGAGAAGGTGCATGAAGTCTGATGCCATCAGTCTCCTGAGTGTGGCACTCCACGTCTACAAACCACATCAGCTCATCTCAAGAGCTGCTTCTTAAAAGATAAGTTTTAAGCCTGAGTGCAGTATCTCTATTAGAGGTAAGCAGAAAAATGAAGCACATAAATGCCCGTCTCAGCCAACAGATCAGAATTTAAACCACTGGAGGTCAACAAAAGCAGGACTACTCTGTGACTCCTGTTAGTCTGAGGCCACCTCAGGAACACTTACCTCGGCAGATGAGTCCGTCCTGGACGATGGTTTGTTTGCAAACGTCGCAATGCTTGGTCTTTTTGAAGGTCTTCACTCGAAACGTGTGGGAATGAAGAGCCTCCAACCCCTCTGGCTGCATGCAAGAAAACAAAAGAAAACCAAAAAAAATAGTATAAATATCTAGAAATATCCAGTAAATAGCTAGAAGTGCTATGAATCGTACATGGGCCAAGTCTGACATTTTTCAGACATTGTTCTGGTACTAACCATCCACTGAACCCAAATCCTGTTATCGCTTCTGTACAGCACTTTGTTGCTTTGATAGACCGGTTGATGTATATTAGATTACAGATTGACCCAATCAGAATGCCAGATGTTACTCCTGTTCCAAAATTTTAAGCGCCTTATGACCCATCGCGTTCCAGCCTCCTTTCATGTGTTATAAACATCTCATTTTCCTCAACTGTGTACCATCCACCAACACCCGGCTCGTTTACTGCTGACTTTATAAACTTGGCTTTAAATGATACGGGACATGAAGTGTGATGATCTCCTGCAGCGTCTTTACAAAACACCTGCATGTTACTTTCTCACCCCGACCTCAAAGTCTAATCTTGGCGAGAAGTGATGTCATCTTCGTGGTGTAATCTTCAGATGGTTCTAATTTCAACTTGAATGTTGAGCTCACTGTGGGTAAGGGTGCAACTAACCCCTTTTAATCCTCACAATACACCACTCTCTAGACTGTGGTGGTTAAACTACAAATACACAAGTGTTATTTTGCATTGTATACTGTATAGAGGACAAGTATTCAAGATAACGTAAACTGAAGAAATCGCCAAAACACTGCCCAGTTGTCTGTTTTGGTGAAGTCATAGACATCAGAATAGACAGCATAGTATAAAACAAAATGGGCCAAGAAACTTTCCTGTAGCACTAAGGCTTTCTTGAAGAAATGCATATTGCACCAGCACATTGCACGCCAATGTTTTAAATAAAAATCTTGAACAATCCATTGGTGCTTAAATTATATGTTGGGGATGACTCTCAGATAATGCCACATCATTTTTTAGTTTAATATCAGTTAAACTGACTGAGCTAAAGTAATTTCTGTGTTACTTAAGGTTAATTAGCAGCGGTGACTCCCGCATGCTCATCAGTTGTAGACGCACATCCAATGATTTCTTTGAGAATTTTATTGAAATCTGTCTAGTGGTTCATGAGATATTTTGTCAACAGAGCGAGAAACAATCGCACACACACAATCACATGATCACTCACCTTTCATGGCTTAGGTTGATAAAAAGGTGCAGCCCAAACCTTTAGATCATTTTACATGCAGCATGTCTAGGGCTATATTTTAAGTGGCAGCATAAACCAATGGCAGGTTTGCAAAGCTTGCATGAGATCCTTACTGCATGTTTGCCCAATAATCCAGTAAAGACACCCAAGATTAGACCATCGCTTAGAAAACCCACACATGCACGAAGAGAACATGCAAACTCCACCCAGAAAAGCCCCAGGTGGGAGGCGATCCTGCAACCTTCTCACTGAAAGGCAACAACTACCAACTGCGCCATTGTGCCGCCAAAAACATTTATCAAGAAATGAAAAATGCAAATACAGAAATTCTTTAAAATGAACACAATGAAGGAAAAAACATATTTGCAGTATCTTCAAGTAGAAACACAAAATAATACTTGTTTGCTCCACTTGTTGAAGTGGAAACTACTTTCTCATTGAACTGAACAATGTGCATATATGATGTTTCTCAAGTACCTAAATACTTCAGTGTAGTTCTGTAAGAAGATTAAAAATACAATGGATTCATTACTGTATTCATTCATACCTATCTGCTCACCACAGACTCATGTTCGGGCTGCTGTTACGCCGTATTGTTTTACATTAATAGTGTTTAGCGTATATCTTGGATCTTTTGGCATTTGTTTAGTGTATATCTTAGATCCTTATATACAGTTTCTTTTTATACTTTACATTTTGATATTTGTGGGTGTAACTGGGACCCTGTGTACATAACTTTATTCTACCTCATGTACCACATGTGGTGGAAACAATAAAGTTGACTTGAACTTGAATGTGTTTTTGAGGCAGGAAGGTCATGGAAACAACTATGCAGCCAAGATGTTTCAATTAAACATTTGCATGCTGCACAGAGCCAAAAGGTGGCCATGGTTGGCACATTCAGGGTCTTTACAATGTATTGAATTGAACAGCTCCCAGACTAACCACAGGAACCTTAAAAGCAATACTGAACATATTTTTTTATCTTCATAACTTTAAAAAGCAGCATGCTAGATAAGCAGTTTGGGGTTTGCAATTAAAGCAGAGGGATAACAAATCACAAATCAGTTTGAGTATACCAACAAAGGCATCCTACGACAGAATAAATGTTTTATGTCATATGTCCTGAAACAGTATTTTTTCCAAGTCATGTTCACATAAGAGTGTTTTTAACTTGTTATTCCTGTTGTTTATCAAGCTCCATATGATAGTTCAGGGTTTGTTACTCTGAGCCACATAGCAACAGCAGAACAGCCAACCCTTTTCTCCATCTCCTAGCTATGCCTTACTACTGCTTAACGGGATTAGCTTAATCTGTTTAGGCTGAAATAATGAGCACTGCTGAGCAAGATGCACAGGGATAGCGGGAGAAGGGTGGACGTCTCTGCCTGGCATACAGGCATTGTTATCCAGGGTGCCACCTTGGAGAGATGCTGGCAAACACCTGCAGGGTTGGAAATAAGGAGGTGGACTTTGCTGGACTGGAAAGGGCTGATAAGAGTCTGCAGAAACCAGTGCCTCTGGAATGAGAAAATGTAAACCATCCCTAACGTTGACTTCCAAAACAATTTGACATTCCCAGTTAAGATGGCCTGCATGACTTTGAGCCTGCATGGTACTGAGATGATAGGAAACTGTTCACAAAATTAATATTTACTGATAAGTCTACTTACGTTGGTTAAAAACATTTGCACAGCCAAACCATCCTTTTTGTATTATTAGTGTAATTCTGAGGAAGAAATTTCATGCACACATTGCAAATATTTGGTCAGAAAAACTGATAAAACTACCCTTTCCTCATGTTAATTATATATAACAATTACTCAAGTTCCTGTTATTTTTGGTCAATGTAACAAAAAGTCACTTCAGAAGAACCGAAGGGCCACATGTGGCTCCAGAGCTGCAGCTTGCAGACCCTTAGACCTTATCAAACTGGGTCCTTTGTGGGCCTGCTTCCATCACACTCCATCAAATTAATAACTGCCAGTTCAGAGGGTCTTGGGAGTGCTTCTGGAGCTTATTCCAAGCAGTTCCTGCAGATTTCTATCCTGCTGATTGGAGTGGGGGCTGATACTGTACAGAAATTTATTTTGCCACATGTGTGCGTGATTGGTCTGTTTCAGATGGTTTTTGACAGAAGATTAATGGATGAAACATTTTCCAGATTCCAAATAAATTACTTCTGCAACATGAGGTGTAACATTCTAATAAGTCCAAAATACAACAGCAAAAAGCACTTTTTAAGCTTCTCCACCAACAACCACACTCCTGGAAACCCCAGGTCATCTCAGTATTAAAGTAAATAAAGCATTTATTGTAGCCTTTTAACAATAAAGATGGGACAAATGCACTGTCAGAAAAATAACCCCAAAATCTGTGAAACCCTGAAGTTTTTATTTTTTTTTGTTTAAACTATCAAAAAAAGTACAAACAAGTATGGCAAGTTACAATAGTGTACATCTAAAAAGGGCATAGTGGAGGCAGACTTAGATATGGGAATATCAAGGCAAAAACTGATTAAAGAATGATAAGGTAAAATTAAAACAAAAGAAAAAAGAAAAATATTAAAATAAACTACAACAAGGGGGGAATATATATTTAGGATAAGGATTAGCATGCATTACTGGGCAATTCCATTAACATTTCATACAGGTCTTCATACGTTTCAATATATTTCAGCGATTTCAAATATAATTGGAATTATGATAAAAAAAAAAGGTTATAAACTGGGGATGATCTTAGCACTTACTTGTCACTCATGTGACAGTGTATTCAAAATGTGTACCAGTTCAATGAGGACATGTGGTGTCAAAACAACAAAAAATGGAGATGTATTTACGATGTCGTACTGTAAATCGTCATGATTATTGTCCTCATGAGCTTGCCATAAAGTAGACGAATGTGACGTATATTCAGTGTATGTTACGAGGCGGCAATTAACAGACCCAAGCTTGTGATGCAGTGATAATTGTCTTTATTAAGATAAGTACAAAATATTACATGTACAAAATATAAAAATAATATTAGTAAATATTATTAAATGTTAAATATAAAATATTTCATGTATAAGTAGAAAATATTACAAATCCTGAAGGTTTCAAAAAGTTTTCTATGTCGGAGTCAATGTTTCACACTCCACTACAGGAGGTGGCAGTAATGTGCTGGATTGTTAGTTTCTCAACTTTCTATTTAAAATGAATAAAAACAGTTTTGGTAGTTTCTCAGTAGAAATTATCAACACTTTACTTCCTTTTAGTACCTGAGGAATAAAACAAACAAATCTGAACAAATGTGAAATTTTCTCAAAACAACAGTCCGCGTTGTTTTTATTTTTCTGCACACAGTTAAAGGTCCTAGAGCAAACTCCTAGCTGGAGTTTTCTACATGTAGTTTACATGTTCTTCCTGTGCATGCATGGGTTTTCTGCAGGTACTCTAGTTTCCTCCCACAAACCAAAAACAAGCACGTTAGGTTAAATGGTGACTCTTGTGTTTACATGCATTTGTGCACGTTTGTATTTGTATGGCTCTGTGATGGACAGGCAGCCCCAACCAGTGTGTACCGTGCTCCTCACCTATTAAGATAAGACACCAGCGCCTGTAGACACCAGATTGATGTTATAAAGGGAAATGTGCATAAGGACAGTAAGGATTAAATCAGTTTCAGTCATTACTGGATCAACACAATTATCCTCTCAAAACCAAATAAGAAAGAACTTCTGTATGAATCTGTCAATTATACTCTTTCTGCCCTCCACAAAAATTATGCAGCAGCCATTTAACCTTAAAATACTAAGCCAGTATCAAACAGCATCCTTGTGTGAGGCTTTAA